ACAGCCCCCAGCACCAGGGCAACGCCGTGGGCCAGGGACCTAGAGGGCAGGGGAGGAGGGAGACTGGACCTGTGCTCACACAGCCAGCACGCTCACGGTCACACCACACCCACACTCTGCACAGACCTGCACTCCACACTTACTTGTACCCACAGGCTACCCACAAACACAGGGACATACTCACACCGACGCGTGTGCACATGGCATGCACTCACTTCCCACACGAATGCAATGCACACATCGCACCCACAAGTGGGCCTGCTCATGTACACACACTCATACACACACGTGCATGCACAGTCACACAGATGCACATAGCACAGGTGTGTGCACGTGTATACAAAACGCCTAGCCGTGCACACGTCCACGCACACTTTGTCCACGCCCCGGTGCCCCACACGTGTGCACGTGCAGTCAGCCGTCAACATGGCGCCCTGCACCACTCCGAGGCCGCCTCCCGCTGGGTCCAGGGACCCAGCTTCGAGCCTGGTCCCTCCGCCGGGGCAGCACAGGCTGGCTACGCACAGCAGCTGACTCTGCGCAGTCACTGCCCTCACACGCCAGACACGCACGCATGTTGTGATGGCAACTGCTACTCTGTGTTTATTTCTCTATAAATAAGCCCTGCGACATCAGACCCCGTGCGTATTTTTAGAAAGTTCGGGTATCACCGCGGAATGCAGCATCTTGCCCATTCAGAGCTTTCTGAGCCTCAGTTAAACAAGACGTGCCACACATTCCCCTGACGTCCTGCCAGTCTGATCTCTAAATAATTCATTATTAAAATCTGGTCAACTCTCCCACCTCCCCGAAAAACTCCTGCAAACACAGTGCCAATTAAGTTGCTGAAAACAGCAGATTTCCACGGACACCGTACAGATAAAGCTGACCATTAAATCGCAATTTAACATCCCCAGGCAGTGGTGGCTGCTGACAGCTTCCAAAGCTTGTAATCTCATTTAACCCCCTCCTGTCAGTAGCAGGTTCACCCCCTTCACGTAATGCCACCAAATTAGACCCGGCAGGGTAGCGGGAGAAAGCGCGGCCTCTTTAGCTAAAAGTCAGGCCACAGTGGGCAGCCCTGACCTTCAGCGCCCTGCTCGCTGCCCCAGCCTCCAGGGACCCCGGAGACATTTGCCTGAGAGAGGAGGAGAGGCGGCCAGAGGGGCGGGGGTGCGGGGGGACCCAGGCCACGCAGCACTTGGATTTCCCTGGGGGCAAATTACAGAGAATTTTCCTAGACAATGGAAGAAAATTTCACCTGGGCTTTTTCAAGTCTTCCTTTGGTAATAAAAGATGAACCCTGATGGTTTTGTTCAAACTACTCTGGCTCAATATTTCCCTTTGCCTGCGGTGCCCTCTGACTCGGAAGCCGGGGGACGCCTCTGTTGGAACACAGAGCCCCCCTCCGGCCACGTCGCCTGCATTTTAGATGAGGCGTCCTAGCTGGGGCTGCGGGCTTCAAAGCCGCTGCCGCTGGCATTTACGCACGGCTCTGCTTCCTAAGGAAACCAGCAGCCTCCGGGATCCCCCGGGCGACAGTACTTTGGCTCCTCTCCCCCAGGTCCACCTGCACTGTTCAGAACGGGAGTGCAGAGAAGGGGCGAGGGGTGCGGAGCCCCGGCCCAGAAGGCTGTGGTTATAACATCCAAGACAGCGCTGCTTCCAGACTGAGCAGCTCTGCTACTCCCTGGCGCACTCTCATTTAGGGAAATTGTCCTCTTTTGTTATCTTAAAAACATAGTTATTAATTGAAAAGAGCTTTCTTCCCAAGTGGGAACTTTCGGGGTTTTTCCTGAAAAAGCAGAAAATGCTTTAGATGCATCAGTTAGAGTAGAGAGGTCCAGGGCCAGGGAGCAGCGGTGCCTGCTTTCAGCACATCCTGAGACCCAGAAAGACACAAGGCAGTGAGTGCCATCCTCTTTGCACCCCCTGACCCCTCCTTGCTTGCATTTCAAAACTAGGTTGTGATTGCAAGAATCAAAACTTGTAAACATGAAAGTACAGTTTAGAAAGAGAGAGAGCCACAGAGAGACAGAGATGGATAGGCAGAACCCTCCTCCTCCTCCTCCTCCTGGATTCACCCCTCTGGGAGGTGGTTTCGCACACACAGGAACATCTTTGAAAAGCAGAGAAAGTTCACGCGGCCTGCACAGGAGGCCCTGGCCGGCCTCCCTGGCTGGGTCTGGCGCAGCCTCTGTGACTCACCATTCATGGTCTGGCCGCACAGCTGAAAGGACTCTGCACTCTCCTAGAAGCTGTGGCCCTGCATGCGCTGACCGGTCCCCACTGCTGCCACCGAGGCTGGCTCGCAGGGGCCACTGATCCTCGCAAGTTCCAAGACCCCCCCCCGGCCCCGTTTTCAAGTCCTTCAACAGAGTTAGCTGGGACTGCCAGCCGGAACCACCCCAATGTTTACTTCGACTTCCCAGGCTGCAGCGGAGGGAGTGCTGCCTGCCAGAGCCTTTCTGGTTTATTTAATTTGTCAGGATAATGGGAGCGGCTGAATGAGAGACAGAGAATGCAGCGTGGTATAAAAGAAACAAAGGCTAAAAGTACTACTATTTTGATTCCCTTTTTAAAATTACTTCCAAAGTGTGGTATCCATTGTGAAGAATAATGCTGAACAAAGCTCAGGGTCTTGGCAATATTCACAGAGCTTATTCACCCACAGCCAGCCCTGCCCGTACATTCAGAGGTAGAATACACTTATAAATGATGTATTGGGAGGACTATAGTTCCCATTGTGTCCCAGAGTAAACAAAGGCAGACAGGAGCTGACTGGCACACGGGCAGTGAGGCCGCGCCGGACCCAACCATTCCCGGCTCCCAGAGGTAAAACTGGGAGCAGCAGAGCTGTAGGCTGGACAGGGCCATGGGGAAACCCAGGGGAGCCCCTCCCTCTCCTCGCCACCGTCAGGCCCCGGGGGCCTGCAGGGACCCCCGAAGGTCCACCAGGGACGCGTGGGGCAGGATGCAACCACTCCGCTTCCACAGGAATGGTACGGCCTGGCCCTTCCTACAATTTCCAGAATCTTCCACCCAGAGGACACTGGCATCCCATGAGACGGTTCCTGAAAATGTCAGAGAGCTAGATGGTGGCCTCCGTGTGCTATATGCTGCCTAGTGGGTCACTACAGTTTTGGGGATGGTGCCTCACCAGGGCCAGGTCATTCGGGGTCACTGAGGCCAGAGCAGCCAGCCTGGCCTTCCCTGGCCGGACACTGTATGTCCTGTGGCAGAGATTCCCATGTGGCTCCGTGTGGCACAGCTTCCTTGTCACCCGTTGGTCTCCTCAGCTAAACCCCTCCTGCCCACCACCTCTGTGAAAAGGCCCTGTGGTTTGCAAACTGAGAACCTCTCTCCTTGTCAGGTTGGGTAGAGTACATCTAGGTATTGTTTTCTTTTGGTAAAGCATTTTTAGTCACTTCCAACAGCGGGGAAAAGTGGTTTGGTCCTTGTTCCACGACAGAAAAAGACTGTTGTAGTACAATTCAGCAAGGAGACCAGGGCTTCCCCCACTTGGACTGATACCATACCCACACCAGCCACTTGCACCCCAAGAAAGATCCCCCCACACAGTCAGATGGGAACGCAGAAGGAGGAACACACTCTGGGATACAGGTGTGCAGTGACCTCACAGAGGGCTGCCTTGGTCACAGCTACTGTGTCATCCGAGGAAGAGCCAGAGGTCACAGGTGCGCAGGCTTGCAGAGCGCTGGGTCGGGGCTCCATCCTCATGGTGGGGACAGCTCCACGAAGCCCTCGTTGGACAAATGGCCACAGCAAAGCCAAGAGTGAGTAGGGGTCAGGAGGCGCTGCCCGGTCCCTGCACACTGCATGCAGCATTGCTAGTGGACCTAGGTGCCTGGCATCTGAACCGAATTTTCCTTCCAATTTGGCAAATAACATTGTTCAGGCTGAAAAATTCAACAGCTCTTAGCTCTGGCTGTGTTAGTGACAGTGCCAGGGCCACGTGTCTACCCCTCCCGCAGTGACACACTCTGCATGGGAATCCGAGGGGAGGCCACATCTCGGGGTGTCGGGGGTGACCATTCTGTCACCTTCATGCTCCAGAGCCCTTCCCTCTTTGGCCCCCAAAATGTGGATCTCATAAAAGCATCAGTGGCCTAGCTGCTAATTTGTATGACTTAGATTTCTTTCTGGGATATCTGTGAAAATCTCTTTTAAAGTTATTTATTTCCCATGGTGGAAACAGAAATCACTATAGTGCACAGATGCTAAAATCAGGATATGTTGAAAAATGGCTTTAAAGCTGGCATTTTGATAAATTCTGGGAAGTGCTATACATACAAGTTTATAAGACTTAGGTTTTGGTGAAATACTCTAAACTTCTACCAGGAAAGAAGAAGACAGCCACTCAGTGTGTTGGTGCATTCACAACAAGCAGTGGAATACAACTACAGACCAGGCGTGGCCAGCCCCAGGGCCTGTGCTGGCTGTGGTGGTAACTGGGGCTTAGCCTTGCTGACTCTCAGCCCTTTGCCGTTACACACAGGGTGAGCCACCCTCACTGACTTGAACGCAGTTTCTCGGGTGGTACCCGGCCTTCGCTTCAACCACCATGTGTTCCAGCTTTCATGCACCTTGAAGGAGAAAGTTTAATTTGGCTCATGACTTCAGAGGACTCAGTCCATGGTCACGGCTCTAAGACAGGAGCATCACGGTGAAAGGGTGTGCTGGAGGAGAGCTGCTGCACTCAGGGCAGGCAGGAAGCAGAGGAGGGGAGGAGCTGGAAAGGAAGGAGTCAGGAGCCAGCCACATCCCCAAGGTCACACTTGCTGGCCGAAGCGGACATAACATAGAGTTACTAATCTCCTAGGCATATCTCAAGCCATCAAGATGAAGCCTCATGGGAGGTAAGCAAGACAGCTCCTAACCCAGATGCGTATTGGCCCAGCCTGCCACCGAAGTTCGGACAGCTGGAGGTTTTGTAAGAATTATCGGTACCTTCTCTGCATGGTTAAAGTCACCGGCATTTTCTTTATTTGGGAGCCCAGGTATTTCGGAGGCTGTTGAGTTCACTCAGAAGGAGTGGGCCCCAGCGGGTGGGGACAGAGTGTCATGCAGCTATGCCCCAGACTTGGAGTTCCACAGGTCAATTGGGCCAGTGTTCCCATTTTACAGAGGGAAAAATTCATAACCAAAGAACCATGACTTGCTCAGGATTAGCAGACAACCTGGGGTTAGTGCTCAGATATTTTAAGTGACTGAGATATTTAAAATTTTGAAAAATAGTCCTCCATATCCACGGGTTCCTTATGGGAAGATTCACCAACAATGGATCAAAAGTAGTAGGAAAAATGCCAACTTTACGGACCTTGTACAGATGTGTGCTTGCTATTCCCTGGAGAACGAGGCACCACATGGACTTACGCAACAGTTGCCTGGCGCTGGGCACAGGAAGTGGAGATGAGACAGGTATGTGGAGCAGGTGTGTGGGTCACAGGTACACACAAAGGTTGTGAGTGCCACCCGCAGCTTTGGGTATCTGCTGGGTGCCGGGACTACCCCCTCCGCCTCTCTCTCCCTCTCTCTCTCCCTCTCCCTCTCCCTCTCCCTCT